CCTGCCCAGCGATGTCACAGTGACCTCCGTGGCAGCGAATGAGAACAATCCATTACCCTACCGCATCAGACTGGCAAGAACTGCAGCTGTATTGCAAACCCCTTTTCTAGCCACAGTCCACAGTGAAAGGCGTGGCTGAGGTGCAACTTCAAAGGAAACAAAACTGGAGAACTCAATTCATTTGATAAGGCCAATGGGTGCAGAACGCTCCCCCTCTGCATGGTGCTGGCATGAATTTGCAGCCAGTTACACCCTAATGTGGCAGCTTTACTAGGAGCAAAATACACAAGGGAGCTCTGATCATGGGAGTTTTCTCTCTGCCAGAATTGAAGGATGGAGGAGAAAATTCCTTTCTCCCCCTCTCCTAGCCCCTGCTCCTTTGCAGCGGCTAGAGGCCCAGCAGGAAAGCTGAGCAAAGACAGCTCAGGCAGGGACATAGCACACAGCTCTGTTCTTGCTCTGGTTAAGCTGTTACAGCTTAAAAGGAAGCAGTCTAGCTATTTTTCATGACTATGAATACAAGATTTGGCATAGCTGATGGGCACAGAAGGGCCCCTCTCCCTCCACCAGTGTTAAACTGAGGTCAAGGTTTAATATTAGATAAGCCTCATTAAACCTTTCTAACTCATTTTGATTGATTGTTCCTTTGTGGTACACATATTTCTGTGTTTGACTCTAAAACGATTGCCCCGTCTCACCTTATTTTGAAACTGAACTTGTGAATTACCCGTAATCTCTTCCTGGTCTTATCTTCTGATCACTCTTGCTGCCATTTAGGCTAATTTTCACGTGATAAAGGAAATGTCACATAGCAATGCACCTTAATACCCTTTAAAACTTGCCTTCCTCAAACAAAGACATTCCACCAAAGAAGTAGATCGCATCACGGAATAGGCCACCCAAATACCCCATGGAAACCTGCTTCCATACAGAAATAAAACCCTCTCTGAGCATACACCCCTCGTTGTCCCCTACCACTCCAGACTGGAACGCATTGATCATTAAACAATTACAACCCATACTCGATGGGGACCACATCCTGAAAGAAATCTTTCCTGAACCCCCTCTCTGGCCTTCAAACAACCCCCAGCCTCTCCAAGCTCATCATCAGATTCAAGCTGTCAACAGACCAGGACCCACCAACTCAGAGCGGCACCAGACCCTGCCATAACAATAGATGCAAAACTTGTATACATATCTCAACTGCTATGATGATGGATTCTCCCCACAACCCACCTTTCAAGATTCACAGGTCCTACACATGTCTGTCACAACATGTGGTAAATCTCACCCGGTGCACTAGATGCCCCAGTAACAACTATGTGGGTGAAACCCGACAATCACTACACTCTCAAATGAACTCACAAATTAAAAGGATAAAAGACAAAAACACCCTGTCACCCGTGGGCAAATACTTTTCACAAAACAATCGCTCCATATCTGACCTCTCAGTCATCCTCCAAGGAAACCTGCACACCACCTTCAAAAGACATGCCTGGGAGCTTAAATTCATAACTCTGCTAGACACTAAGGGCTTGTCTACACTTAAAATGATGCAGCAGCATCACTGCTATAGTGCTTCAGTGAAGACCTACACCAACAGGAGGGCTTCTCCCGCCAGCACAGGTACTCCACCTCCCCGAAAGGTGAGGGCAGATTGATGGGAGAATTCTCCCATCCACCTAGTGCTCTCTGCATTTGGGATTAGGGCAGTTTAACTGCCTCACTCCATGGTGTGGATTTTTGGCACTCCTGAGTGATGTAGTTAAACCCACCTAATTGCCTAGTGCAGACCAGGCCTAAAAATCCTGGATTTAGCAGAGACACTGGATTTGTGATTTAGTACAACAATCTATAAACCACTAGCCCCCACCCCTTTTTGTTTTTCTTCCTGTGACTGAAGAGGTGTTACCCAGTTGAATGGTCCCTTGAAATATGTGTTAACTATTTATGCTAAACAACCTGTTCCACCTTGTATTAGCTGTCACACTCTGAGTACATTTCTCAGACCTGAAGAAGAGCTCTGTGTAAACTCCAAAGCTTGTCTCTCTCACAGACAGAAGCTGGTTCAATAAAAGATATTACCTCACCCACCTTATCTCTCTATAGAGCTATGCAGTGGCATAACCTGCGTCCTTTGTGGGGTGGTAACAGATATAGTCGAAGGCCACAGAACAACAAACAATAGCTGTATGGCAGTGGTTTTCAACCTTTTTGCATTTGCGAACCCCTAAAAAATGTCGAATGGAGGTATGGGCCTCTTTGGCAATCTAGTGTCTGTATATATAGTTGAATTGTGTTCAGTCAGTTTTCAGTCTAAATCTTTTGGGGACCCCTTAGACATAGCCCGCAGACCACAGGTTGAAAATGACTGCTACATGGTAACTGTCCCCCAGCTGATGCTAAGTGTATTACTGCTTCGTTTTCACAGTATGCGCTTGATTTCTTGACTTATCCTGCATGTTCTGGGATGCTGCAAAAACCACTCTTGCCGCATTAAAAACCACAACAAACTGCAGTGCCCAAATGCAACACTGGCTCTGAGTCTGCAACAGAGACAGCCTGAAGCAACAGCCCTAAGACATACCACATGCTCCTTTCCTCTACAAGGCTATGTTGACTCTGAAGCCTGAGGATAAAGACGCCAACTCATTGCAGATCATCACAGCAGGAACATCAGGCTAGAGTGCCTTCTTCATCACTGTGGGTGAATTGGGGTGGGTGGGGAGAGGTGATGGGGAACTGGGTGTTTAGGCCCCTCCTATTTCAAGTCAGCTCCAACACAATCCACAAGAATCAGCTTCCTCCTCTCTATCCAGTTTAATCCTGACACGTGACCTGACCGCACATCCTGGTTCTAAAGCCAGCAGATCCTTCTTTACAATGGAGACCAGGCAGATGTCCCCATGTTCAGCTGAAACGGCGCATCTAGCCTTATGTTTACATAGCTCTGCCCATCCCTGTGGCATTCAGCCGCCTTACGGAATTAAAAGATCAGTGAAGTGGCCTATACAGAGGCTGTGACTCCTGGGTGCTCAAAACCCCAACTGTTCCCTACACCCAGCTGCCAAATCCTCCAACTTTCCCCTACCTCTACTGCACGAATGGCCTCCATCACCATGTATCTGAGCCCATCACAACCTTCCACCTTCTCCTAGGCAGCTCTGCACTAGCAAAAACCTGTGGCACACTGACAAGGAGCAGACAGCCTACAATTGAATTCGATATTAAAAATAAATAAATTATATGTTATCTAATTTGATAAACATCTTATTTAAAAAGTCATTTACCTGACTCTGCTGCAGAATTCACCAGCAGACTGCTACAGATAGCTGGCCCTCAGGGACCGGTGTGCTTGGTATGGTATAAATGCCAGACAAAAGGCAGCAGACCTTGATTTCCAAACTCATTAGACAAGTGTCTCAGCATTGGTCTTACTCCCACTGCTCTCTCTATCACCACTGAGTGAGTTGTTCATCACTTGGTGTTGTGTAACTGGAGCATTTGCGTTGAGTTCCAGCAACAGGGAAAGGGAGCTCTCTCTATACACATGGGGCTTGATACATCTCTGTGCCGATGCAGGGACAGAAGGGAGGTAGTTTGCGCCTCCACATTTCAGGGATTGCTGCAGGCTAGTGCAGCCCAAGGTAGCCCTACTTTGTGCCTCTGCTGAAACAGGCCCCATGAGGCTTTGTAAGGGTGCAAAATTGCTGGGGTGCAGGTCCACCCCGACACGTGCCTGCCGTCCGTCTGGTGCATTTTAGCACATGCCTTGCTTTTGCGGCTAGAGCAGAGCATAGAAGTCCATTGTATGAGGGATAACCCTGGGGTGAGGTGGGAGCTTGCGCCTCCCCTGTCACCCCTTTGTCCCTAGCTGAGGCCAACAATGAATTGGGCCCATGGTCTGTGACACAGTTTGGACCAGAACTCCTATATGGGCCAGAGCCACCGCCTAAAACACAGGCACATGGCATAGCTTGAGTAGAAGCTGAACCATTTGGCCCACGGGGTTTCCCTGGAGACTGATCCAGTAAATGCAGGGGGCTAGGGCACTGATTAGTGTGTCTGTACGGGTGAGAAAAGCAGCAAAAAAACAGCAGAGAAACTGGGAGAGAGGCACCAAAAGCCAAAGAGACAGCCACAGAAGCACTGGTAGCATGACCCTGAGACAAAGAGAGAGAGAACTTTTAGGCTAAGTGCTGGCTGGAAAGGGGCTAGGAATTGTGAGCAAAGAAACTGCCTCCTGCTGTTTGATTCCTGCCGTGTTCAGGGAAACTGCATTTTATGTACCTTCATTGTAAATAAACAGCACTGCACCAAAGAAATACCCGACTCTACCATCAATTTCTCCATCTAGCAGAAACAACTCGCTAGACCCTGAATTTTGGCTAACTACTCAGGTCAAAATGGGTAACGGCGTTTTCCTTTCCCCTCCAGCTCTGCCTCCTCGCTTCACCATAGCGTGGCATGCAGCAGGACTGCAGGCTGGCATTCGCTAGCAAAGCTTTATCAGCAGCACAGTTATACAAACAAAAGCATTCTCTGACCTTGTGGTTTATAGCAGCCAGTTTTCATGAAACCCCAAGTCGTCCTAGATCAAAGTGTTACTGAGAACCAGCCTGCAGCATAGGAGAAACAAAGCACAAACCAGTTACGCTCGCCACTACCACCAGTCCCTTATCTTACGGAGAAAACAGAGACCCCAGCCACAGGGAGGAGCAGGCCTGCAGCACAAAAAGGAGGAAAAGTCATTTCTCAGTCTCCACTTCTTCATCATGGCCATTAAAAACCCACAATCAAATCCCAGCGGGATGGGTACATATTTAACTTGTACATTTCCTCTTGAGAGAGAGCTGCAGTGCCTTACTCAACACAGGCGGAAGACTCCAAGGATTTCACATCACCTTGGTGGGTTTGGTTTGCAGAACTGGACTGTTTTGATTAAAAGCAAACAAGAGGTCAGCAAATTCTGAGAACTCCAAATTAAACAGAAAACCTCATTAGCTTGCCACAATAATTGTCTTTAATTACCTAAAAATGACCTTATATTTAAAAAAAAAAAAAAAAAAACTCTACAAAATCACTGTCTACATGTCATAGATACACCATGGTATACTCCATTGATATACTGGTTCGATTAATTCCTCAGAAGACTGTGATCAGCTGGGTTGAATTTCATTTCTCAAGAGTCGTCTCTTCCCCCTTGTACACAACGATGTTCTGGTCCGTTTCATACACTTTGACTTTATAAAGAGTCCCCGCAGGCAGGCGCTTCTGGAGGTTTTCCCAGATGTACACTGCCACATTCTCAGTCGTACTGCAGGGGAAACAGGGCTGACGTTAGACATGAAGCAGTCAAGGCACACTGACCTCTCGTACATGCAACAACACACACATATAATGATGGATGATAGAGAGAGAGGATGGGGAGGTAGTCGATCAACTGAAATTAAATGCCACCTGGAGAATTAATGACATTTGAACTGGTGCCAGACAATATACATGGCACCCACTATGATCCATAAAACAACACAGGCTGGACCCTGGCACCAAATCTAGTTCTACCCACCTGACAACATCAGCAAAGTAAGCCACGTCTTTATCCAGGTTCTTGTGGTCAAGTGGCTCCATGATGGCTTCCTGAGGGCAGAGAAGAAGGATATGAATAACAAAATATGTAGGAACAAAACAATAACAAAATATGTGGAAATGGCACGGGTGCTTAACGACTTCATTGTTTCAGTTTTCACCAAGAAGGTTGGTGGTGATTAGACGTTTAACATACTGAAGGGCCAGTGAAAATGAGGCAGGATCAGAGGCTAAAATAGGAAAAGAACAAGTTAAAAAATTACTTAGACAAGTTAGATGTCTTCAAGTCACCAGGGCCTGATGAAATGCATCCTAGAATACTCAAGGAGTTGACTGAGGAGATATCTGAGCCACTAGCGATTATCTCTGAAAAGTCGTGGAAGATGGGAGGGATTCCAGAAGACTGGAAAAGGGCAAATCTAGTGCCAATCTATAAAAAGGGAAATAAGGACCACCTGGGGAATTACAGACCAGTCAGCTTAACTTCTGTACCAGGAAAGATAATGGAGCAAATAATTAAGCAATCAATTTGCAAACATCTAGAAGATAATGAGGTGATAGGTAACAGTCATAATGGATTTGTCAAGAACAAATCATGTCAGACCAACCTGATAGCTTTCTTTGACAGGGTAACAAGCCTTGTGGATGGGGGAAGCAGTAGACGTGGTATAGCTTGACTTTAGTAAAGCTTTTGATACTGTCTCGCATGACCTTCTCATAAACAAACTAGGGAAATGCAACCTAGATGGAGCTACTATAAGGTGGATGCATAATTGGCTGGAAAACTGTTCCCAGAGAGTAGTTATCAGTGGTCCACAGTCATGCTGGAAGGGCATAACAAGTGGGGTCCCGCAGGGATCAGTTCTGGGGTCCGGTTCTGTTCAATATCTTCATCAATGATTAAGATAATGGCATAGAGAGAACACTTACAAAGTTTGCGGACAATACCAAGCTGGGAGGGTTGCAAGTGCTTTGGAGGGTAGGATTAAAATTCAAAATGTTGCTGGAGAAATGGTCTGAAGTAAATAGGATGAAATTCAATAAGGACAAATGCAAAGTACTTCACTTAGGAAGGAACAATCAGTTGCACACATACAAAATGGGAAATGACTGCCTAGGAAGGAGTACTGCAGAAAGGGATCTGGGGGTCATAGTGGACCACAAGCTAAATATGAGTCAACAGTGTAACACTGTTGCAAAAAAAGCGAACATCATCCTGGGATGTATTAGCAGGAGTGTTGTAAGCAGACATGAGAAGTAATTCTTCCGCTGTACTCCGTGCTGATTAGGCCTCATCTAGAGTATTGTGTCCAATTCTGGGCGCCACATTTCAGGAAAGACGTGGACAAATTGGAGAAAGCCCAGAGGAGAGCACAAAAATGATGAAAAGTCTAGAAAACATGAGCTATGAGGGAAGATTGAAAAAATTGGGTGTGTTTAGTCTGGAAAACAGAAGACTGAGAGGGGACATGATAACAATTTTCAAGTGACATAAAAGGTTGTTACAAGGAGGAGGGAGAAAAATTGTTCTTCTTAACCACTGAGGATAGGACAAGAAGCAATGGGCTTAAATTGCAGCCAGGGCGGTTTAGGTTGGACATTAGGAAAAACTTCCTAACTGTCAGGGTAGCTAAGCCCTGGAATAAATTGCCTAGGGAGGTTGTGGAATCTCCATCATTGGGGATTTTTAAGAGCAGGTTAGACAAACACCTGTCAGGGATGATCTAGATAATACGTAGTCCTGCCATGAGTGCAGGGGACTGGACTAGATGACCTCTTGAGGTCCCTTCCAGTTCTATGATTCTATGACATTGGTAGCTACATCAATAGGGCATGTCAAGGGGGCACAATGAATGGCAGATTCTAACCATCCTGCTTGGACTTAGGAAGGGCCCTTCTGTGTCTGTGGAGCAATTCCAGACACACACACTGGGAACTGAAATGTCACTGGGGCCGATGCTGGCCTTTTCCTGAGAGGTCCTAGGTACCCAGAGTTGGTAGGAAGGTACCAGGGCAGCACTATTAGAGGGAGACAGCAACATGTTGTGCAACTGGTGAGAGGAAGTCAAAGACCTTGCATATCACAGACCAGTGTGGGGACCAGCAGGGGACGTTACACTGCAACAGGGCACTGCACTGACGCATTTTTAGCTCATAAACCACTCCCTAATTCCCCACTGCTAACAATATCTACTCCCCACTTCCCCACGCCCTCACTAGCCCATTACGCCATCGCTGATTTCCATGTGAGAGCTCCATGAGCACAGTGTTATTACCTGCATATATTCTTTCAGGGCTGTCAGGTTTATAACCATTCCTGACGTAGGATCAATCTACAGGGCAAAGAGCGAAAGGAGATTAGAAGCACATCTACTAATCCTCACACCCCAATTGTGTTACCAATCCCACCAAAAGCTTTAGATGGCACAAACCCAGACCACCTGGGGTCTGCAGCTTCCAAAATGGGCACTCAGGAATCCTGACCCATAAGAAAATCTCTCTCTCCGCCATCGGACACGGCCTGAGCCTCAGCCCTACTTAAGTAACACCATGAAGAACATGCCCTAATGGCTATATAGAGAGTATCAACAACTCTCAAGAGATCAGTGACGTTCATAATGGCGACACCAGGAAGAAAGCTCCCAGCACACATAGTTACTAAGCAGTGCTTGGGCAGAGCCCATCAGCCACACAGAGAAGCCGCCCACTAGGCAGGAACAAGGATTTAATCGGTTGTTTTACCAACCTGAGACACAACTGCTAGCTAGTAAGGGTCAGGCACAAACCATGAGCACCAGTGGGGCCTAACCACAATGCGCAGGTAATCTGGCTTTCTCCTGAAAGGTAATCTGTCTTTTCTGCTGTTCTGTAGGCTGATGGCCATGGTTCCCCAGTCTGGGACCATCTAGCAGGAACCTCTGGCTACCAGAAGCTGGGACTGGATGACTGGGGATGGACCACTCGAAATTGCCCTGTTCTGTTCATTCCCTCTGAAGCATCTGGCACTGGCCACTGTCAGACGACAAGATACTGGGTGAGATGGATCATTCGTCTGACCCAGTATGGCTGTTCTCATGTTAACTCCCACAATCAGCAACCACAGAATTAAGAGCAATTGTTCTGTGGCCCAGATCTCTCTGGAACAAGTTGGCTGAGAGCTAAGCGCAGGACTCTAGCCTCCCACCATTTTGCAGGGGACAGAGTTTAGCCCCGCTTTCGCTCAGGACGGAGGCCATTCAGATCTGAGAGCGGAAGCTAAGGCTGAGATCCTGCAATGAGCTCTGTGTGGGTGGACCCCTGAAGCCACATGAAGCTCATTGCAAGACTGGGGCTGAAATGTGGCCTCCAGCATGTCTTTGGGAGAGGCAGGGTGAGAAGGAGAGCTGCCTTCGCTGGACCCATCTCTCACACACAAGTGATTACAGAAAATCTTCCTCTTTATAGTTGATGGAACAGAGGGTTTTCAAGCAATGCAGGATTTTTAGCAATTCTACAAAGGCAAACACCTAGAGGGTTGGGTTTTTTAAAAGATCTGCAGAATTTGCACATGGAAACCACACTCTGATACCTCCAAGAAGGAAAAAGGAAGGAAATAATGATTGCACTTACCTCTCCACGCACAGTCACTACAACTAGAGGGAGAAAAACACCAAGTCATAAGTGTGATCCAATGTACACGAGAACATATCACATTAGTGGCAGATCAGAGAGCCCACACAGCATTAATCAGCCCCAGGAGGTGGGTTAATGACATGAGAAGTGTTACTGTTTAAAACAATATCCACTGTATAAAGAACAGTAACTGACCCTACAGTAATAGCGGTTCTCCAAGATGGACACGAGATTGGATTCTTTAGGTCAGCAGTGTCCACTGGGACTGTGCCTGCACCCTGCACCGGAGGGTATAAAGGGTGGGACAGGCTCAACCGTCCCACGGCAGAGTCCCACCAAAATGGGCATCTGATCCGGAAGCCTCTACTAAGGAATGGAATCTTGTAAATGTGAGGATTGTAGCTGCTCAACAAATGTCACATACAGGGACACTCGTCAACAAGCAGCAGAGGCTGCCTGAGTTCTAGTGGAATGAGCTCTAATGTGGCTAGGTGCATCTAACCTGGCTAACCCATAGCATGTCCTTATACAGTTGGAGATCCACTTAGATAATCTCTATGGGGATATAGGTTGCCCCTTAAATCTGGCCACAGATAGTCAGGCATGTTCCTGAGTGATTCTGTTCTAAGTACAAAGACAGTCCCCTACTATATCAGGTGTGTGAAGTCTAGCTTCCTCCAGGGTTGAGTGAGGCTTGGGGAAGAAAACAGGCAGGTGAATGGACTGGGTGTTACTCTGAGGCAACCTTGGGCAGAAACTTAAGAGTAACATTGTCCTTATGAATAACTATATAAAGAGGGCCTGTCATGAGGGCCTGAATCTCCCCAACCCTTCAAGCTGCTGCAATGGCAATCTGAAAGCCAGAGGTGGTCTAGGGAACAGAGAGCACCACCAGAGGACCCATCAACTCTGCTAATATTCTACAGTGATGTCCCAAGAGGGAGAGAGCTCTTGGGGAGAAAACATGCATAAGGCCTGTGATAGATATGGCAATTTCTTGCAGTGTCTTTGGAAAAACTGTGTTGAATTAAGGTTAAGTATCGTTGAAGTCCATTGTATTAAATGCAAATGTTCTGTATGATTGTGGGCTGGGCTTGTATATAACTTTCCTGGAGGGGGATCTGATGTGAACCCTGGGAAATGTATGAACTTCAAAGGACTATATTGAACAATGCACCTGACAAGAACAGACTTTTGGGACAGGGTTAAATGGTTTTCCTGGGGAATCTGAATACAAATTTCCCACCTCTGGTTATGCAAATCCCCTTTTGATGCTACACCCTGAGGCGAGGACCACTCTCTGCTGATTATCTCTTCCCAGAGTCTCAAGGTCAAAAGCCCAGGCTGTATAAAGGAAAGACTGAGCTACTGAGGGATCGCTTGTTCTGAGCTAAGGCTCGTATGAACTTGTAACCACAGAAAAACCCCACTGTGGGGTTTGAAGGACTGATTCCTACCAGAGCCCTTGTGGGAGCCAGGGTGATCTCTGGTTAGCTTTTTAACATGCATGCTGGTTCTTTTGTTGTTTTTAATTGGTTTTCGCTGTAATGCTTTCACTTTAAGATTAAATGTGCTTGCTTACAAGGAGCTGTGTGGTGACTTGTCACTGCTGGCAATTACAGTTGTTCATAACCTCTGGAGTGGAAGGAAAGCACAAACTGGCCTGTTAAGGCAGTCTGGCTTACTGGCAGGGAACTGTGCAGCCTTGGGAAAAAACCCAGACAAGAGGAAGAGAGATACGAGTCCCTATCTGAGAGAGCTGATGGCTGAGGAGCTGGGAGTCTGCAGTGGGTGCCCTTGCTGGACCCCAGAGGGGGAGCACAGGTACAGTTGCTCTGAGCTGAGACAGGGCCCTTCAGGAATTTTGCCACTACAGCGTAGGAAATTCAATACAGCCCTGGACAGGAGGGTGAGGAGCAGATATTGCTTCAAGATGGACCCTTATGGAGCTGATGGAAAGTCCAGATTGTTTCAGGGCTAGCAAATAATCCAATATTGCAGAGACTGCAGACATCAAGGGAGTCAGATGCCCAAATAGAAAAGCTCCTCCATTTAGCTTCAGGGCATTAAACTAATAACAAAAGAGGAGGGTGAAAAGAGGGAAGAAATGAGTACTCATTTAGTACAAATCTGAAATGTTGAGAAGAAACCAAAGGACCTGAAGAGAAGAAATTCTTTACTTGCCTATACCCCAATGTGAGAAGCCTGGGTAACAAATGAGGAAATGGAATGGCTCATTTATCATTTCAATTTGATCTGGTTGGTATTACTGAAACCTGGGGGGTTGAAAAGGAGCATACTTTCTCCAAGGGAGGGGCCGCTCTGTGAGGTGTGCCCCATCTCTATATAGGACAGTTCAGTACCAGGGACACCTCTCTAACCCAGTATACCAGTGACCCAAAGCGGGTGGCTTGGATGTCACCACCCATAATCTTTCCAGGAGAGGTCACTCTGGTATTGGGCCCACCGATAAGTCACTCAGCACCATGTATGATTTAGGTACCAGGACAGTTAATGCCAAGGAGTGGGTACCCTAACGTTAATCTGTACCAAGAAGGTCATCTGTATCAGGGCGTATGATCACAGAGGCAGTCGATGCTGAGGCTCCAGGTACCAGGTACGGTGTTGGTGCTGAAGGATCAGTACTGAGGGCAGTGTAGCTGTTGATTTAGAGGGCACTGCATGAACTGACTCAGAAGTCAGTGCCAGGGCACATGAAGGGGCCTTCTTAGGCTTTTGGCCCTTGGACGAATGACGAGTCATGTGGCCGATGACTCTTTGATCTCAATTTGCTAGGTGCCAGGGACAGCGAACTGTGCCTGGGCTCGTCTTTGGAGCACTGCTCCTTTCTGCCCATCAGATGTCAATGCAAACGAAGTGATGGACAAGTGGGGCCTCTGAGTGGATGCGGCCTGGGGGCTCAGAGTGGGATCATAGGTCTAACAGAGAGAGACTGACATGATGGCTGAGCCCTAATTGCAGCTTTCCTCTCAGTGTCCATGGAGGCTTGCATCCATCTCTTAAGAACATAAGAACGGCCCTACTGGGTCAGACCAAAGGTCCATCTAGCCCAGTACCCTGCCTTCCGACACTGGCCAGTGCCAGGTGCCCCAGAGGCAATGAACATAATAAGTAATCATCAAGTGCTCCATCCCCTCTCCCTCATTCCCAGCTTCTGGCAAACAGAGGCTAGGGACACCATCTCTGCCCATCCTGGCTAATAGCCATGGATGGACCTATCCTCCATGAATTTATCTAGTTCTTTTTGAACCCTGTTATGGTCTTGGCCTTCACAACATCCTCTGGCAAGGAGTTCCGCAGGTTGACTGTGTGTTGTGTGAAGAAATACTTCATTTTATTTGTTTTAAACCTGCTGCCTATTAATTTCATTTGGTGACCTTCTCTTAGAAGGAACAGCTTCAGATGCACCTCCCTTGCTCTCTGAGTGCACGCAGAGAAAGAACGACAGACAGAACATTGCTCCAGGACATGCCCTCCTCACAGAGAGAGCAGACACTAGGATTGCCCATCATTAATGGCCATAATGCTGGTGCCTTGGCTTCCGCTGTAATGCCAGTTCTCTGTGGGGCAGTTGGGCGGTGGGGGTCTAAGCTAACTGAAACATTATATATTTGCCCATTGGGCATATAAAAGAAAAAATTAAACTAATTACACTAACTTGACTATCTAATTATTATATGCAAGGCTAAGGAAAATCACACAGTACACAGAGTAAGCAGACGCTGCAGGGGTACTGCCTCACTGTCAAGGGCAGTCAGAAGAAACTGAGGAACACCTGGGCTGTCTGTCCTTTATGCCCTCAGATGGGAGGTGTCAGGGTATCTAGTGGGCAGGCATGGCCCTGACAGATACTACTGACCAAAAGGATCCAGTCTTGCATGCATGGGGCCCATGCACACTAAGAATGGAATCCATGTGGACAATCTCTTGAAGAAGGTTTGGTTTTTTTGGATAACATTTGTTTGCCAAGTGGAAACCGCCATTAAGATTTACTATCATCTTGAGTATAAGCAGATTTGGTTTATTTAGTAGCATTTTAAAATAAGATTTACTCTTTATTTAATGGCCTAAAAGTCAGATTTGTGGTTTGGACTATCTCCTGTTGATGATCACTCTTATTTCTCTTTGCAGCCTCTGTCATCAAAAAAACAAATACTCCAGATTCTGCTCTGAGTTACATAAGTGTTCACAGTAACATGGCTAAGAGCCGATCCCATCCAAATGTCTCTCTCATACAACCATCTGAACTAATTCTCTCTGGGTCTGGATGAATAAGTATAGCACTCAGGCCAGTCAGCCCCTCACCTTTATAGTTGTGTCCATGTCCGTTTGGATTGTTGCATTTCCCAAAGAGTTTCAGGTTTTCTTCATCACTCAGTGACTTACTGTAAAAAAATAAAAAATTGCAGTTGAGGGCCAATTACAAACATTAGGGTTTTCATTTCAACTGGGACTGGTTTTTAGCTCCCCCCGATCTCCTTAGTAGGTACAGCAAAAGAAACATCTCATTCACAGACTCTGCCCACTCAGATTCTGTACCCACTGCCTGAGTTAGTCCAGGCCCTGTGTATGAAAGATTTGCTCTCCACTCACCTTCTAGTTTGTGGTCTCATTTTTCATTGGACCAAGACATTACCCATAGCCTATCCTTGTCTATAACACGCCCTGAAAAGTGGGTGGTGATTCTTTAAACATTTTATGTAATTGGTTTTTTAAAAGTTAATAAATTACTGTTTGTACTAATGATCCAACATAATGTACTCCAGTCACTTTCTCCTTTTTAAACAGATGGATTAGACTGGGGAAGTACGATTACATTTTTTTTTTACTCTATTATAATGAACATTCATCCAGGTATTGTGTTTCTCTACTGACTCTGTAAAGCATTACTGGCTAAAGAACTGGCATCGGAGAGTTGAAGGAGACCAGTTACGAGATTTGGGGTCTATTCGTTTGGATACTGCTGCTCGTTTCATTGTAGCATCCCGACTTCTCAGTACAGTACTGTGTACTGTTGCCAAGTATTCACTCCTACTGTGAAAAGTGTATCAATCAGAGTTTGAAACACCACAAGAGTTCCAGCTGTTCACAAAAGGGACCAGATGCCTGGCAGAACCACCTAGTTTCTGAACACAAACATTGCAGGCTGTAGTATCCAGGATCATGGAGATATTTAAGAGAACAGTGGGACCATCGCTAAGTTTACTGTCATCCCTTCTGACTTTCACATTGTACCAACAACTCTCCCAGAGGATGTGAAGTCTAGGGATGAATAGGTGGTGATCAGTGTAGGCCAGCATCTTAGGGTATGTCTACACTACGAGGGTAATTCGATTTTACTTAAATCGAATATGTGGAATCGATATTGCAAAGTCGAACGTGTGTGTCCACACTAAGGACAGTAATTCGACTTTGTGAGTCCACATTAACGGGGCGAGCGTCGATATTGGAAGCGGTGCACTGTGGGCAGCTATCCCACAGTTCCCGCAGTCCCCGCTGCCCATCGGAATTCTGGGTCGAGCCGCCAATGCCTTCTGGGTAAAAAAAATTTGTCGTCATCCGTCCGTCACTAACGCCCTCCCTCCCTCCATGAAAGCGCCGGCGGGAAATCAGTTCGCGCACTTTTCTGGTCAGTGACAGCGCGGACGCCACAGCACTGCGATCATGGATCACGCTGCGACCATCGCTGCACTTCTGGCCGTTCTCAACACCTCGCAGCTTATCATACACCTTTCCCTGAGGCAGATGAAGAGTAATCAGGCGAGGAGGCTACGACACCGCCGTGATGGCCTGAAGTCGGAGAGTAGCACAGAGCTGTCAGAAACCACGAGCCCCAGCGCCCAGGACATCACGGTGGCAATGGGTCATGTGGATATCGTGGAACGGCGATTCTGGGCCCGGGAAACAAGCACGGACTGGTGGGACCGTATAGTGCTTCAGGTCTGGGATGAATCCCAGTGGCTGCGAAACTTTCGCATGCGGAAGGGGACTTTCCTCGAACTTTGTGAGTTGCTGGCCCCTGCCCTGAAGCGCCAGAATACCAAGATGAGAGCAGCCCTCACAGTTGAGAAGCGAGTGGCCATAGCCCTCTGGAAGCTTGCAACGCCGGACAGCTACCGGTCAGTCGCGAACCACTTTGGTGTGGGCAAATCTACCGTGGGGGTTGTTGTCATGCAAGTAGCCAAGGCAATCGTGAAGGTACTGCTCCCAAAGGTAGTGACCCTGGGAAACGCGCAGGTCATCAGAGATGGCTTTGCCGCGATGGGATTCCCAAACTGCGGTGGGGCTATCGATGGGACTCACATCCCTATCCTGGGACCGGACCACCAGGCCAGCCAGTACATCAATAGAAAGGGCTACTTTTCAATGGTGCTGCAAGCACTGGTGGACCATCGGGGACGGTTTACAAACATCTACGTCGGATGGCCGGGCAAAGTTCATGACGCTCGCGTGTTCAGGAACTCTGGTCTCTTTAGACGGCTGCAGGAAGGTATTTACTTCCCAGACCACAAAATAACTCTTGGGGATGTGGAGATGCCTACAGTCATCCTCGGGGACCCAGCCTACCCGCTAATGCCCTGGCTCATGAAGCCCTATACTGGCGCCCTGGACACAGAAAAAGAATTGTTCAACTACCGGCTGAGCAAGTGCAGAATGGTGGTGGAGTGTGCTTTTGGCCGTCTCAAAGGGAGATGGAGAAGCTTACTCACTCGCTGTGATCTCAGTGAAACCAATATCCCCATCGTTATTGCAGCTTGCTGTGTGCTCCACAATCTGTGTGAGAGCAAGGGGGAGACCTTTATGGCGGGGTGGGAGCTAGAGGCAAATAGCCTGGCTGCTGATTACGTCCAGCCAGACAGCCGGGCCATTAGAAGATTCCAGCGGGACGCCCTGTGCATCCGGGAGGCTTTGAAAGCTAGGTTCCTGAGTGAGCAGGGCAACCAGTGACTTTTCAGTTTGTGGACAGAAAAGCTGAACCTGCCCCCGTTTCTTTACCCAGTTCATTTTGACTATCCTCTCCAGTTACATACCCCCTTCACCCCCTTCCCCTTCCCAAAAAATAAAATCATTTCTATTTTGTTAATGAACACCGTTGTCTGTATTGCTGTTTTCGCGGGAATATTTTAAACCGGGGACGCAGACTGTGGCGGGGGGCGGGTTTAGTGTTCTGATGCAAATGATGCTTCTAAACTCCCGGAATGACAGGCTCCGCACTGGTGGACTGGTTATTTCAATGGAGCCTGCCAGCACTCCTGGGGGGGATTGTGTGTATGTGTCGGCTATGTGACTTTCTGGCAGGGGGGGTAGGGTTACAGATCCCCTGCTGCGTGGATCTGTGAGCCAGGATAAGGACCGCTGCATAAGATCTGTAACTGCCCTCCCCCGCCACAAAGTCACAGAGCAACCCCCCCCCCCAGAACATGAAAAACACCTCCCAGACTGACCAGGGTAACCAGTGACTGCACTGTGTATGTGTCCTGATGCTGGACCGCCTCTGTACCCTGCTAAAGGTCACTGTCCTGTCCAATTACCAAGCCCCTTCCCCCCCTCCAGACAGACTCTCCCTCAAAAGAACCTGACTGAAACAGTAATGAACAGAAACAAACATTTTATTGCGAACCAGACATGAAACGTGGGGGGTGAAACTTGGACGGGGGCTTGTGTGAGGTGGGTAGGAAAGGACTTATGAAATTTTGGGGAATGTCAGCCTTCTAGTGCTAGAGCAGTCTGCAGGGGTTGACTGAAAGTTTTAACGGCCCTTGCCGCCCCTCCTTCTTTGGACTTTGGGTGAGGGTGGTGTGGGACTTGGTGGCGGGGCAGGGCGGTTACAGATAGACTGCAGCGGGGCTCTGTCCTCCTGCCTCCGGTCTTGCAGAACATCCACAAGGCGCCGGAGCGTGTCCGTTTGCTCCCTCATTAGTCCAAGCAGCTTTTCAGTAGCCTGTTGGTCCTCCTGACGCCACCTCTCCTCCCGTTCCATGACTGCTCGGTGCATTTGTGACAAGTTCTCCCTCCACTGTGTCTGCTGGGCTGCCTGGGCTCGGGAGCATCCCATTAGTTCTGAGAACATGTCTTCACGCGTCTTCTTCTTCCTCCGCCTAATCTGCGCTAGCCTCTGGGAGTGTGCTGACAGGCTGGGTTGGGAGACAGTCGCAGATGTGTCTGTGTGAATTGTAAAAAGGGAGTGAATTCCTGAGACAGATAAATGAAATTGTATACAAAGAACCTAGTCTTTCTCTGTGAACAAGACCATGCACTGCACCTCTCACATGCGCACTCAGGACAAGGTCGAATTTTCGGCCGTCGCCTTCAGTGCCTGTGGACTTGCGGAGGTCTTGGAGTGATCAGAGAACTGTGGCTGGAGACCTGAACTTCTGGAGCGGGCAATAATGGTAAGCCGGAGACTTGTGGCTGCTTAAAACTCCAGCAGTAGCACTGGCCTCCTTTCACATTGAAAGCAATGCCAGTCTCTGCTGCCAGCAATCAGGACAGCATCAACTCTGCCCCTGTTCCACCCCCTCGCGGCTGTCCCAGGGAAAGATCCCTGTATGCTGCCCCTCTCCCTCCACCGCGTGGCTGTAAAGCAGTCCCAATACTAACATTCCCCTCCCTAATTCAAAGCAGGGCGTCATGAGTGACATCACCCTCCTGAGGATCCCGGACACCTAGAAAGAACGCATGCTGCGGGAAAGCATGCAGAAACCGGGGCCGTATGCCGCCATGCTATGTCGGGCCATGATCCCCGAGTACCTGATTGTGGCGTGGAGGGGACATGTCTGCTACCACGGAGGGCCCAGTAAGATCGCCCTACCCCGGAACCTCATAAACAGGCTTGAGATCTACCTCCACGAGACCTACGAGGAGTTCTCCTACGAGGATTTCTCGTCAATCCCCGGCCACATTGACCGGATTTTCGCCTAGGTGCACTGGGACTATGGAGTGGAGCGTCTTGGGCCTCGGAATCATGTAGTAACGGACATTGTGAAAATTTTTTAAAATACTTGGGACTAAATTGAGAAGAGCCTAAGACAGAGAAATCATGAAAACCCATTTGTTACCTTTGTAAATATTCCTGTTTTGTACCTGATTATTTTTTACTAGTTTACAGCACTTTTATAAACATACATTGTTAATAGTATAAATATTACCGTTCTGTTTTAAATAAATGTTTACATGTTTACAGCACTTACTGCTTGATCCTTCCCCTGATTCTGTGTCCGGGGTAAGGGATGGGGACGGTTGGTACGGGATCTCGGTAAGGGTGATGAAGAGCTCCTGGCTGTCGGGGAAATCAGCGGTGCCAGCGCTGTCGACTGCCTCGTCCTCCTCATCTCCTTCTTCATCTTCCCCGTCCGCTAACATGTCCGACGAGGAACCGGCCGCGGACAATATCCCATCCTCGGAGTCCACGGTCAGGGGTGGGGTAGTGGTGGCGGCCGCTCCCAGGATGGAATGCAGTGCCTCGTAGAAACGGGATGTGTGGGGCTGGGATCCGGAGCGTCCGTTAGCCTCTTTGGTTTTTTGGTAGCCTTGTCTCAGCTCCTTGATTTTCACGCGGCACTGCGTTGCATCCCGGCTGTAGCCTCTCTCTGCCATGGCTTTGGAGATCTTCTCGTAGATCTTAGCATTCCTTCTTTTGGAGCGCAGCTCTGAAAGCACGGACTCATCGCCCCACACTGCGATGAGATCCAAGACTTCCCGATCCGTCCATGCTGGGGCCCTCTTTCTATTAGATTGCACGGCCATCTCTGCTGGAGAGCTCTGCATCGTTGCCACTGCTGCTGAGCTCACCTCGATGTCCAAACAGGAACTGAGATTCAAACTGCCCAGACAGGAAAATGAATTCAAATTTTCCCGGGGGTGTGGCTGGTCAGAGCATCCGAGCTCGGACTGCTGTCCAGAGCGTCAACAGAGTGGTGCACTGTGGGATAGCTCCCGGAGCTATTAGCGTCGATTTCCATCCACACCTAGCCTAATTCGATATGGCCATTTCGAATTTAGCGCTACTCCTCTCGTTGGGGAGGATTACAGAAATCGATTTAAAGAGAGCTCTATGTCGAACTAAATGGCTTCCTGGTGTGGATGGGTGCAGGGTTAATTCGATATAACGGCGCTAAATTCGACATAAAAGCCTAGTGTAGACCAGGCCTTAGATAATTGCTGGGGAAATAAGTGATTTGACCTTAAGTGTGTAAAGTACAATCTATCAAAATCCATAGCTGTCCACTGAACAAAGAAGTTAGATTTTTGGTCTCACGGATAGAGCTTGAAAACTGCCTTTGGTGCTGCTGTTCTCATCCACCAGCCATGAAAAACCTCATGCTACACAGAGTGAAATAGACAAGATTCTGGTCAGAATCAGGTTTGCCTGCAGCATAGTCTTGAAACTAACCAGAGTCTTGTCCCAATTTCACTCTGCTGTTGTTTAAAAATGCTCCTATTTAGTAGGACAGGCTGGGGAAAGAAAGGGGAGTCACTCCTTTTTCTCTCCCCCCACTCTCCACTCCCAGAGCCTCCATCAGCAGGAGAATTTTCTGTGCTCTGACCAGCTTCACTGCTGCCATTCCCAAGGTATTGAATGGTACTGAATCTGAACTGACTTGCATCAACTTCACTTTTGCTGGTGGAGGGGTGGTGTGGTGAGCACAAGCGTACACAAAACATTATCCAGGCAAGTGGTACGGGGGAGAAGAGAACCAAAAAATGAGGTGAGAGAGCTGCACTCAAGACTGCAAGGGGGAAGGAGAGGCAGGAGAAAGCCCCCAAAAGGGGGCAGAAGAAATGCGCAGGATGATGAGAGAGGGAGTGAGGAAAACAGATGGATTACAGTATTTTCCTTCCCTTCGCCTATCCTTTGTCACCTCTAACAATAACAGTGCCCAGACTGTAAGCTCTTTGGGGCAGGGACTGGACTGTTTTACTAGGTGTATGTACTGCGCCTAGCACAACAGGGCCCCAGTCTTTGAGGCCTCTAGGTGCTACTGTAATAAAAATAATAAGAAACAGCCCCAAACACATGGGCTGTTGAAAAGGGAGCGACCCCACCCAGGGCCAGTGCAAGGATGTTTCGTGCTCCAGGCGAAACTTCCACCTTGCGCCCTCCCCGAGCCCTGCAGCAGCTCCCCGCCCCCCCCCCCTCCGCCCGGAGGTGCCCCCCCTGCGGCAGCTCCCCACCCCAGCTCACCTCTGCTCTGCCCCCTCCCCGAGCCCTGCAGCAGCTCCCCACCCCCCCTGCCCTGAGACGCCCCCCCATAGCAGCTCCCCCCCGCCCGGGGAGCTGTGCGGCAGCTCCCCACCCCAGCTCTCCTCTGCTCCGCCTCCTCCCCAAGCACGCCGTCGCTGCTCCACTTCTCCCGCCTTCCAGGCTTGCGGCGCCAATCAGCTGTTTGGCGCCGCAAGCCTGGGAGGGAGAGAAGCAGAGCGGGGCGGTGTGCTCAGCAGAGGAGGCAGAGCAGAGGTGAGGTGGGGCGGGGAGTTCCCATGCGTGCCCCCCCCCTTACTTGCTGCAGGCGGCCCTCCCCACACCCTCCGCTTAAATGCCAACGATGACCAGGGCGGCCGAAGATCTGGCCGCTGCGATCACCGCCGAAGAAAATGCCGCCCCCCAAATGCTAGTGCCCTAGGCGACCGCCTAGGTTGCCTAATAGGTTGCACCGGCCCTGACCCCACCTTCCCAGCAGCTGGGAGAGTAAGGCATAGTGAGGTGCAGCCTGAGGTTCATTTTCTCTGTCTCCCCCTTGTACGGTGTGAGCTCTTAGACATGGGGACCATCTGGATCCTGGATCTGGTACATCGCTGGGCACGTTGCCAGGCCGGAGAGCAAATGGCTCTCCTGTCCAAATGGGATAGGAACTAAGGAGTCCCAGGTAAGAACCAGGGACAGCTCCCCCCAGGATGACTAACCCCTCCC